AGCTCAGCCGGCCGGCGTTCCCACTGGCGCGCTCAGAAGAGGCTCGGAGCTTCTCCTCTGGATCCTCACATCTTCGGCATTGTCATTCCTGGGATTGTAGGGTTTGGGGGGGGGGGGGGGNNGGTTCAGGGTTTTAGGGCTTGGGGTTTTAGGGGCTTGGGGTTTATAGAGGTTTAGGGTTTATAGGGGTTTAGGGTTTATAGGAGTTTAGGGTTTATGATTTATAGGGGCTTAGGGTTTATAGGGTTTAGGGGTTTGGGTTTTGCAGCTAGGGCTGAGAGTCGAAGTATATGAAAGCCCCCCTTGCCCCCGCCCCCACACCTTGTTTGAAGACCCTACTTGGAGGATCATGGGACTTAGTAAGTAGGGTTATAAGTCCCTTAATTGGGGTTATAAGTAAACATAAGTATATGTGACTTAGTAAGTAAGGTCATAAGTTCCTTAATTGGGGGTTAGAAGTAAACATAAGTACAGTTACCTTAGTTATAACCCTACTTACTAAGTCCCATGATCATTTAAGTAATTTAACGGCCCAACAACTGTGAATAGTCCAAACCGCAAAGTGCCCTTAAGCGGATGCAGCAGGAGAAGCTGCAGCCGGAGCACAGGGAAATGGGGGTTCGTATAATAGGTGCATTACAGCCAAAGTATGTTCCAACAGCATATGAAGCCTTAATCCCACCTTCTAACCCTGGTCCATGAGCCTTCGGGTTTAGGGTTTAGGGTTTAGGGTTTAGGGTTTCTGTATTACCCACCCGCTATAAATACACGCAGCTCCTACAACCATTGCAAAAAGCCTTGTGGAACACTTAAATGGCTTATGGAAGCCTTGCGGAGACCTTCTAGGAACCCGTAACCTAATCCCGAACTCCTAAACCCTATAAACCCCTAAACCTAAACCCGTACACAATTCGTATAACATCCTTTTGTTAATGCCGGAGATTCCTGGAATTCCTCCGGCCGGCAATCCTTGCTTGTCCAGTAGCCTACATACACTGAAGGCTAACGTTTGGGAGTAAATTGGTAGTTTTCTAAATTAGGGTCCCTTTTAGAATCCTTTTTATGAGGGTGCCGTACTATATTGGGGACCTAAACAGGGACCCTAATTTAGAGAACTACCCATATACAGCGAACCGCAGAAAGTTGGAACATGGGTTTAGGATGATTAGTGCTAGGATCCCTTTGACTTTACCTTAAGAGCATGGGGATAACGATGCTCCAACTTTCTGGCTTCTACTTTAGTCATTAGGGTTTAGGGTTTACAAAAGCATAATGCCCCCCCAAAGGTTAAAAGGTTCTCTACTCTACGAGATTGTAGTACTTCCCCATAAAGGTGAGATGGGTATACCTACCCCACTACTTTGAGGTGACAAAAACTACTCCTTGTGGCTGGACTTGGAAGTACCCAGGGAGAAACAGTATAGACGTTCATTTCATTAAGGTTCCTTTGGGAAAGTATAGCCGTTCATTTCATTAAGGTTCCTTTGAGGAACCGGTCCAAAAAAGGCCTGTATGCATGGTAGGTACTCCAGAACCCAGCATGAAACTGATTCAAGCACCCTTATCCTGTACCCTAAACCCTAAACCCTAAACCCTAAACCCTAAACCCTAAACCCTAAACCCTATACCGTTCCCTACAAGAAGGTCCAAGAATCCGGGCAGACCGCCAGGCAGACCAAGTCCCGGCATCATCCCTGCCATGCCAGGCCTAGGTGGGTTCGAACTCCAGGTTTAGGGTTTAGGGTTTAGGGTTTAGGGGTTTAGGGTTTAGGGTTTAGGGTTTAGGGTTGTGTAAGGGTCTCCCTGGGCTCCCTTCAGCAGGGGTACGATTATCTGTAGCCGAAAAGACCCAGCTTTTTGGGGCTCTGATAGTTCCTTAAAGTGGTATGTCTTTTGGGCCACAGGTAGGGTTTAGGGTTTAGGGTCTAGGGTTCAGGGTTTAACGTGAGGGGTTCCCTCACCTGTCGGTGCTCGAGAAACCTAGTGTACCTTGTTTGGCTCCTCCTGAAGGGTTCTTTATACAAGTCCTTAAACAGGTTTTTGTGCTGCAGATAGGCTGTCTATGAGAGTTACTATAAGGCTGAGGGTTTAGGGATTGCTTGGGGTCTCGGGGTTATCCTAAAGAGTTCTTTAGGGCGTGTTTTGCACCTGGCTTCATGAGGATTCTGCAGAGCTTTTTCGGGAGATTTCCGCGCTGCTCTGAGGCTTCCCCGGGTGTTTCGAGGGGTTTACCAAAGAGTTCTCCAAATTCGGGTCCCTTTTGAGGTCCCCAATATAGTACGGCACCCGGATAAAAAGGACCCTAAAAGGGACCCTGATTTAGAAAACTACGAAATTGCTGACGGCGAAGCATTCCTACACCACTTCTTTCTGCTGGACAGTTCACGCAGGCTGCTAGAAGACTACACCTTTGTTCCTCTATACAACGTCTACAGCTAGTAGGCCGTTTTCAAAGCATTAAACACCCGAGTACCATGTTTTCATTTCACAAAAATGCTTTCCAAAGCGACCGAGGGGCAATCCACCCATCATACCGGCCATGCCAGGCACCCCACCGAGCTTGGCCAGTGCGGGGGCCGTTGGATTTGCTGCCGCCAGCTTTGGCATCGGCAAGACCATTCCTGGGTTGCTCTTTATTGCCTTGCTAAAATTAAAACTTTTAGTACCCGTAATATCAAAAAAGGCTAATCCTATAAAGTTCAACCAAGATTCCGGGAGGAGGAGGATAGATCGGTGGTGTCAGGCCCTTCTCTCGGATCAGCATCTGCCAGTACTCGATCTTGTTGTTGATGTGGCGTCGTCCACTCATGTGCTGCTTGCGACCTTGGAGACTGCTGTTCTTCAGGTACATGTCCGAGTAGTCGTCATAGAACCTCTTTGGCATGGCTGGCAAAGCTACGGATCCCTTTTTTGCCCTCTCGAAGAGCCCCTGGCTTGATGTCCTTCACTCATGGCAGCGACAGGAAGTTGAATCAGGGTCACGGCCACGGGAGACGCAACAGTCTATAGAGCTTGGGGAAGTTGGGTGACCTGTTACCACCTAGACCCTCCATCTACCCTCTATCAGACCCTACAGACCCTCAATTAGGAACCACTCTAAGACCCTAGATGCCCTTAATTTGGAACCATATACCCTGTTTGAGGGTACTTGGAGGGTCCTGGCCATCGAGACGTGTCTGCTCCACTGGACTTGCGAGCAACAACTTGGACCAGACTATAGGGGCCTCAAGAAATCAAAAAAAGGGTTTGGGGGTGTCACTGTCTTATACTATAGCTATCATAAGGAACCCCCAACACCCTATTCTAATTATTAAGGCCCCTACAGTATTATGCTATCATATCGGCTCCCAGTGAAAAACCCTAAGCCCTAAACCCTAAACCCTGGCTCCTGCTCATCCACTACGTTGCTGTCGGCCGTTCGGCCATCCACGGCTTCTAACTCCCTTCGCCTGCGTTGGCTGAATAATTATCAAGATTGTTCATAGGGTTCCTTATTACAACTACATTAAGCCCTATTCAAAATTACTACGGCCTCTAATTATACAATCCTCATTATTCGAAAGAGTGGCCCCCACATTTTGGGCGAGGGGCGTATTACAAAACACTTTCGGGTTCAGGGTTTAGGGGTTGAAGGTGCAGGATCTGGGGCTTGCGTTCGATTTTCAGGGGCTTTACAGGTTTGGGGTTTTAGGGTTTAGGGTATAAGGTCTGCTGCCGTCGGGTCCACGGTAAGGGACAGTGTCAAACGCAGACCCTGAAACTTGGAGGCCTTAATATTTCATGGTTAGATTTCGACCCCTACACTAAAACTACGGGATCAGCTTCGACAGGACCTTCTGTTTTGCCCCGTTGACCTATAGCATGGCAACATCCGCAGCGTGAGACCGAACCACGTCTAGTCAAACTAATCCAGTCTGGCGTGCCCACAAATCCAGGAACGTGGGCTCAGGGCAATATACTGGCCGCAATAGTTGGTCTGTGGTATTCTTATAATATGACATGTAACAATGGAGGTTTGGAGGAATTGTCTTGTGGTCAGGTAATGATTCAGCCCCCTACGTTGACTATATTAGCAGTCATAGGGTCATAGGGACAAGCCCGCAAGCTGAGCGGCGTCCAAAACAGTCAAAGGAGGCGAGGCAAGCTCTCCGAGGATGCTATAATTTCAAGAACCGCCACATGGGTAATTTTTTTTAATTAGGGTCCCTTTTTAGGTCCCAAATATAGTACGGCACCTAGAGAAGACCCACATCCCCCCCTCTATCATCTTCGCGAACAGCCCGTGACACCCTAAACCCTAAACCCTCAACCCTCAACCCTAAGGCCTAAATCCCTCAGCCCCCTGCGGCCCACTTCCAAACCCACAACAAAATCCGAAATCTACGAGCCTAAGCCCACATTAATGTAGGGGCGCTGATAATTAAAATAGGGTTTGGGGGCCCATTATACTATGATGATAATAAGGAACGCCCCCAGAATAATATAGGTAAATCTTTAGGCCCCCTACATTTTGATCCCCAGGCCTTATTCAACCCAAGATCTGGGACCCTGCGCCACACCCCAAACCCTCAACCCCGAATACTCAAAGCCCGGAATCCCCCCCAAACCCTAAGACCCCATGTATCTCAGAGTATAGGGTTAGTTCTCTAAATTTGGGTCCCTGTTAGAGTCCGTTTTATAAGGGTGCCGTACTATGTGGGGGACCGAAAAGGGGACCCTAATTTAGAGAACTACCCATATACTTAGGCCTTAAGGGGTTCTCATATAGGTACTTTAAAGCCTATGTATATTCTAACCCTATGCTTCCAGGCACCTTGTTATTGGGTCCTTAAAGGGGTCTAGGGCCCTAACTATAAGGTCCTTGGAAGCCTAGGGTAATTATTAAGACCCCTATATTAGATCCTTGGGCTTGGAAGGGTGCACTTTGAGGCCGAAGTATAGCCAAGATAGGTACGGGGAGACCAGGGGTTAGGGTTTATGGATTAGGGCTCAGGGGTTTAGGGGTTTAGGGGTTTAGGGTTTAGGGGTTTAGAGGTTTAGGGGTTTGGGGTTGATGGCACATCCCAGGCTTCAAGACTTTTCGTCTCTGT